AAGCTTACCTGAATTCCAGAGAGGAATGCAGTCAGCCCATAGATGTGTTCTAAATTGGAAGCCTAACTGTCAGCCTTTAAGATCTGAAAATATGCTTCTTTGAGGGTAAGACTGGGAGGTGGGCGGTTCTGACTGCTCCCTGTTTCTTTGTTTACTGTTGTCTTGGGGGGTCCCCACGCACTGCCCCAAAGGCTTCCAGATCTATGCGTTTTGGGGCTGGTTCCTCAGGTGGAATTTTTGCAAGTTGGGACTCAAGAAGTTGGGTCCAAACCCTTTGCTCTTCAGGGAGAAGCTGGGAATTACAAGATCCCTTCCAATGGTATATGGTTCTGTTGGAGGTGGAGTTCATGGCAAGAATGTGTCCCAGCTTTGTGCACGTGATTCAATGTGGGTATGACCTCTTTAACCCAATGTGTAGGAGTCCCTTGGCTAGTTTCTGGGTGTCTCACAGTGGGAGTTGTCCCATGTGTAGCTGTAGGTTCCACATGTCCATGGGAGGAGGTGAATTCAGAAGCCTCCTGGAACATTGACGCTGAACAAGAACTTCTTTTTCCTTCGATTCTTATGGAATATGTTTGGATCAAGGATATAAAAAATTTCCTCTATTTTGTTTTAGCATCATTAACACATAGGGCTATCCTTTTTCAGTTCTACAACATAGTGATTCAACAAGTTTATACATTATTCTATAGCCACATCTGTCACCATACACTACTATTACAATACCATTGACTCGATTCCTTATGCTGTGAAAATATGAAATAAATAAATAAATAAATAAATAAATAAATAAATAAATAATTCTTCTTTCTGAACTTTCATTTTTCTGGAGAGCTGGTTATCCAACACTGACTAGCACAATAATGGTGCAATGTAGGCTATCACTGTTTTGTCATGGTTCCCTTTTTTCTATTTATACCACCACTTTATTTCTACCAAAAGGTTTTTAATCCTGATGAAGTCCCAATAGTTCATTTTTTTGCCTTTGTTTCCCTGGCCTTTGGAGACACATCTAGCAAGAAGTTGCTGTGGCCCAGGTCTCAGAGGTTGCTGCCTGTGTTCTCCTCTAGGATTTTGGTGGATTCCTGTCTCACATTGAGTTCTTTCATCCATTTTGAGTCTATTTTTGTGTACAGTCTAAGAAACTGGTCCAGTTTCATTCTCCTGCAAGAAGATGTCCAATTTTCCTAACATCATTCGTTGGGGAGATTTTCACTTTTTCCTTTGGGTATTCTTTCATGCTTTGTCGAAGATTACTTGACCATAGAGTTGAGGGCCCATTTCTGCTTTCTCTATTCTGTTCCATGGGTCTATGTGTCTGTTTTTGTGCCAATACCATACTGTCTTGATGATGACAGCTTTGTAATAGAACTTGAAGTCTGGAATTGTGATGCTGCCAGCTTTGCTTTTCTTTTACAACATTGCTTTGGCTATTGGGGGTCTGTTCTGGTTCCATTTAAATTTTAGGATTATTTATTCCAGAGGAAGATACAAATCAGCAGGGTGTGAGTGAGGAAGTCCTGGCTTATAAGTCTCTGCAGTCCTTCCATTTGTGTAAGGTAGGTGGGCATAGGAGAGGGAAGGTTCTCAGTGCTTTTGTGAGGTGTGTGTACATCTGGTCCGGGGCATTATTTATGGGTTCCTGTCCAGACAGGTGTAATTCAATCCCGTTAGCAAAGAAAGCCTTACACGGCAGTGCAAAAAGTAACTTTGTTATAAGAATGACCTAAGTGGGGGGTGGGCACCTGGGTGGTTCAGTCAGTTAAGTGTTCACTCTCAACTCAGGTCATGATCCCAGGGACCTAGGATCGAGCCCCATGACTGTCTCTCTGCTCAGCAGAAAGCCTGCTTCTCCCTCTGCCTGCCCTCTGCCTACTTGTGCTCTCTCTCTCTGGCAGATAAATAAATAAAAATCTTAAACAAGCAAAAACAAAGCAAAAGTAATGCTCTGGAGGAATGGCATCACATCTGCACCTTTCCCTTCACTACCCAAGCTGCTGCCAAAACGGAGCCCACTGAGAACCGATTCATTCCCCAGACCCTGTTCCTCCTCTTCCCTCTGAAGGTCAAGCGTCTTCTACAGTCACCAAGCCCAGGCACTACAGACAGCCACGGTGAGGTCTCTCACACTCAGAAGCAGAGACCATGACCTTCAGGGTATCCCAGGAAGCATGCTGGGCCCACAGCTGGAGTTTTTGTTGCTGTCTCCAACAATGTGGGAGGGTGGTTGCCCCCTGCTGGCAATAGTAATGGGCTGCACCTTAAGTCTCCAGAGCCTCTGATGGTGAGACAGTTACGAGTTCCCACCCACATTCAATTCCCAGGGTTTTGTGGTTGCAGAGGAAGAAGCAAAACAGCAGTGGGTGGGTGAGGGAGTCCTGGCTTAGAAGTCCCTGTGGTCCTTCCACCTGGAGAAGCTAGGCAGGTAGAGGAGAGGGAAGGTTCTCAAGGCTTTTGGGAGGCTTGTGGACCTCTGGACCAGGGCATCACTTACACGTCCCTGTCCAGACAGCTTAATTCAACCCCATTACCAAAGAAAGGGGCACTGTGGGAGGTGAGTTTCCTCTGCGGTAAGAATCTGCTGTACAGGGGTGCCTGGGTGGCTCAGTGGGTTAAAGTCTCTGCCTTCAGCTCAGGTCATGATCCCAGGGTCCTGAGATCAAGCCCCACATCGGGCTCCCTGCTCATGGGGGAGCCTGCTTCCCACACTCCCACTCCCTGTGCTCGTGTTCCCTCTCTCACTGTGTCTCCCTCTGTCAAATAAATAAATAAAATATTTTAAAAAAAAAAGAATCTGCTGTACATAATTTCCATCAGCAAATCCCAGTCCACACAGGTGCACCTCCTCTTTCCCTGGCCACTGCTGAACTAAGCCCTTGTCCATACATTAAGGTCTTTGTAAAGACCTCTGAACCTCCAAAGCGTAGGGAAACTAGAACCCCAGTGTGTGATCTGGAGCCTAGATATATACAAGGATGTTCCAGAAATGACAGGCCCTGTCTCCCTTTAGAGAAGAGAACCCATCCTCACCCACCTAGAAAACTGAGCCAAAATATTTAACTTTCCCTCTGAAACTGAATGATACACAGCCCTTGGCTCATTAGCACAGTAAGACATTTAGGTCTCTACACCATGCTGGTTTTAAAAGGATCCTAAGTTTTGAGGGGCTAGAATATATATTCCATTGATTTCCACTCTAATCTTTATATTTCCTTCATTCTACCTACTTGGATTTTGTTTGCTCTTTATTTTCTAGGTTCCTAGGGAAGGAGCTTAGGCCATTTCTATGAGATGGTTCTTTCTTTCCCAATTCAGGCATTTTTCAAATTAGTTGTCTAATATTATTTCTTTATCAATTTATTACAAATTTAACACAAAGCCGTGAGAAACATTGGCTATTTCTTCAGTTGGGAAGCAACAGGAGAAATATGAGAAGCTAGAAGGGAAACATGGTTCTGAGGGGTGGGTCTGATGCTATTCATGATCCATTACCTGGGGAGATTTTGTACTTGATGTCCTAGGCACCAGAGACTCTTGGGAGAAAAGAATTTGGAAATAAACAAACAAACAAAAAGCCTTATGTAAGTGCCACATTTGTAGCAGACAGACCGGGGAGGAAGGGGCATGACAACTACATGCCCTCCCATTCAGTGTGGGCAGAGCCTGTGAATTCCTCCTAGACCATGCAATATTGCAGAGGGAAAGAGAATTGGCAGATGTAAATACCATCCCAAATCAGTTGATTCTGAGTTAATTAAAATGGAGATTATGCTGGGTGAACCTCACTAAATCAAGATGAAGCCTTGAAGGGAGGAACTAAGATCTCTCTCTTGAGAATGGATTTCCCCTTGCTGCTATGATTTGTAAGGATCTCACATGTCAGGAATGTTGAGTGGCCTGTAGGATATTGATGTGACCACCGGCCTGCAGCCACCAAAGTTCAGGACCTTTAGTCAGATAGTCACAAAGAAAATAATCCTTCCCACACCTTGAAATGACCTTGGAAACAGATTCTTCAAGCCTCTGGATGAGAAGAAAGTTTAGCCAACACATTGTTTCATCCTGGAAGACCCCAAGAAGAGAACCAGCTAAACCCTGCCCAGAAGCCTGACTCCTAGAAACTATGTGATGATCAATGTGTGTTTTAGCCACTAAGTTTGTGCTAACTTTTTGCGGGGCAATATAAAAGGAATAGGACAGTAAAATTTTTATGTGGTGACACACTGTTACAAGCTTAGAAACTAATGGGAATCTGAGGACACTGACATGTTATAGGGCACTATTTTTCAGTTTCCCCAGCTCCCCCTGGGGAAGATACAGAAGCCCAAGGGAGGCCAAGGTAGGGGTGGAGACAGATATGAAAACTGACCGTTCAATCTTTGTCACTGTGCACACTCAGGCTTCTGGAGTTCACTCTACCTGTAATGTTCTAGAAAGCAGAAAAAGAAGACAAGAAAAGACCTTGGCTAGATACATGATGGGTATCATAGAAAAAGGACATAAAAATCAGACAAGGAGAAAAGGACAAGTAAATATATCTAGGACAGAAGAAGTCATTTTTGAGAAAGACACAGAGATGGAGAAACCTGAATCAAAGGAGCACAGACAACTACATCCAGTTCTTAGTTTCTGAACAACATGGAGGGTGACTATGTGAGCTCCATAGTCATATGATCATTAAATTATAAAACAGATTATGTGGAAAACACAAACACACAGATACATGTCAGTCTGAAATCTTCCTCTCTCATAGTCTGACCCTCTTACCCAAACCACCCAGAGACCCTGGGTCATGAGGAGGGACAACTGAGGGATGGAGACTTACTGAGCAGCCACCTGGGGAGGGTTTTGTTTACACCCAGAACACCATGGGAGGAGTCTCCTTGCTCTGCTGGCTGACAGTAATAACTGGCAGCATCGCCATCCTCCACGGGATCAATCATAAGACTGATCTCAGGGCCAGACCCACTGCCACTGAACTGGGCCGGGACCCAAGACACTCAACTGGATGCTTTATAAGTCAGGATTCTTGGATGCTGTCCTGATTTTTGTTGATACCATGTAATATAGTGTGTAATGCCCAAAATGTCACCAACTTTCTGACTGGTCTTGCAAGAGATGGTGGCCTTCTGCCCTGGAGACACGGTCAAAGAGGCTGGAGACTGGGTCAGCACAATGTCCCCAGTGCAACCTGGAATGAGAAACGCAACAAATTTGACAGACGTACTGAGAGTATCCCAGTGGAGGCCCACAGCACTGATGACCTTGTAGTCAAAGTCATGGACAACACTATGAGGAACCAGAAAACAATAAGTAACTGGGCAATGGAACGCCACACCAAATGCTTGAATTCCAGCCACCAAGAACTGAGAGACACCAAAATCATCGTGGCCACAGTGAGTTTACCCACCATTTCTCCGAGTGCCCTCCTCTCACCTGGAGCAGGATCCACAGCAGGGGAGCCCCGGACACCATCTCGGAGAGCTGGACCGGAGGCTGCTACTCCAGGGCCCGGACCAGCTGCCTTTAAGGATGCTGAGAGCAGCCTGTGGTTTTGTCTCATGACACAACATGCAAAACTACTCAGAAGAGCTTGAGGTTGGGCGCAAAGGGGACAGCTGCTCACAGAACCCCTGTGGGACTTTGGGTTGCCAGAAATTTCCAAGTATAGCTCAAGCATGTCCCAAGGGATTTGGGGACCAATTTCTTAAATCTTTGTCTTCTAGTCTGAGATGCCACGTGGGACAGTGCTCTGGGCTCTCTTACTATGAGGATACAGGTTATTTCAGAAACACTCATAATCCCTAGAATTACCACAATAATGTATTTCAAGTTGTGATTATTGTCTGGAACAGAAAGCCATGAGATTATAAAAGAATGAACCAGGGTGGCCTGGTTCTGATGGGGAGAGGAAGTTGGCCCCACTGAGTAAAAGACCTTCAAATGAAGTCCTGACATGTCCTCAGGACCTGGAAAGCATGAGAGGGCTGAGCATGGAACCTTGGTGAAGGCTGGGAACAGACACTAATTATGGAACTTGCCTCGGTGTGGAGAAGCCCGGGACTGTATCTGCTCAGTCCTGGAAACCAATGTCATGTCCCCCTTGAAGCCCTCCCAGACAGAGCAGTCACTCCTACTCAGAGTGGAGAACCCCCTGTGCCTAACTTCACGTTCACCCGGCCTCTAACATTGACGTGTCATGTGCAGGAACCGTGACAAAGCCAAGAAGACAAACCCGTGTGAATTCCAGCTCCCAGGACAAGAGCACATCCTCTATCAGCTCAACACTTTCTCATGAACTAATTCTTCATCTTCTACAAAGTGCCCTCCTAAGTGGCTCCCAGTGACTTTTCTCAGACAGGAGCAGGCTGAGCCACATGTGATTTACCATCGCCTAACCAATCATTCTACTTGTTTGTCATCTGTCAGGGGGAGGGCCAGGCAAGGGCAGGCGGCCCAGGGGAGTGGCTGGTGGCAGCATCACCAGGTACCAACACGACCTTGGACTCTGCCAGTTCTGCCTTCATCCTCCATGGGGATTTGTATCAACCTCCCACCCCTATTGCCTCCATCACAGGCCTGATGCTGCTCATTGGGTCTTTTCCATGGAGAGGATGTGAGCAGCCTTGGGAGGGAGAGAGGCAGCCTGATGGTGCCAGATCCTCAGGCACCTGCTCTTACGGTCCGGGTGAGAGAATGTCCCCAAGTTGAGAGTTCCCTCAGGGGGGACCCTCGTGCTCCTGAGAAGAGTGGTAATGGGAGGGGACAGGAAATGAATGCCACCAACTGCACAGGCTTGCTTAGTGCCTGGCCTCACCTTGGGAGGCCCACTCTGGCTCTAACAGAAACACAGCATCTCTGCATCAGCCCAGTGTGCCTCTGATGGCAGCTTCTGGTGGGCACATGACACTGTCCCAAGCTGCCAGGTCCCTGGCCGTTCCCCAGGAGAGAGTATCCATCAGCTGCAAGGCCAGCGAGAAGCCCCTCCACACAGCCAGGAAGCACTGCTTAGCCTGCACCAGCACAGACAGAAGGCTCTCACTTATTGCCCTTCCACCTCAGTTAATGGTGTGCCTGCCCATTCAGAGGCAGCGGCTCTAGGACAGACTTGACTCATACCATCTGCAGCCTGCAAGCTAATGACAATATGGTTGACTTCTGTCATACAACATCAGGATGTACCATCATAATGACAGGACCCCACATCAGACTTCAGCCCTCTCTCTGAGTCTCCTGCTAGTCATGACAGCCCTAGTCTGGCCCTCTCCAATCAGGTCCTTATGATGTTTCCCATCACCTCCAACAGCCGTCCCCACGCAGAACCTCCTATCTACTGGAAGTTTGTAGTCACCATATGCTGAGCATTCCTATTTCCTGACTTTGCCATTCAAATTTTAATCCAGAAAAAACATCTCACAAAGGAGAAAACACTAAATCTCGGTCTATCCTTGCACTAGAACCAATGCACATCATTTTTTTCCCAACATATTTTTAACATTAAAAGAAAAGACTTCTAGGGCAAAACCAGGAGCAAGAGCAGGCTCCTTTTGTCACTAGAAAACATTTTAAATTTGGAAAGAACAGCAAAGCAGGTTTTAAGAGGGTGGCAAACAAAAAATATGGAAGACAGGAGAGATAAAGGACTCACCACCTGAACACATTCTCCCCCGATGCTCCCCACCAAACCACTGAGATGCAAAGTAGCCCCCTGTCTCTTCTAAAAGTGCCCAGAGATTCTGCGTTTCCCCAGCAGCCTGCTCACCGAGCTTTTATCACCCCCTTCAGCCACTTCTAGAGACTTCTAGGCCTGCCTAGAAACTGGAAGTTTGTTTAAAATCAAGATAGGTAGACTATGCCACTCTAGTATCACTCCTTATTGCAGACAAACACCAGCCCCATGGTCTCTCCCAGTTTCTGGAATATTTTAGCACCCACCTCATACAGCCTCTCACACCCTGTCACAATTCCTGGTGGTTTCACTGTGTTCAGAATATGAACCTTCCATTGTTTGGCTGACCCTCCTCCAATTGTCTCTTCCCCACCCAATCTTGATCAGTCCCGCTCATGGCCATGCCTTACGTGTGCCATCAGAAAATCATGACAAGTTCTCCATCATTACAATGCTGAGCATCTCAGGGGTGCCTGGGTGGCTCAGTCAATTGAGCCTCTACCTTCAGCTCAGGCCATGGTCCTGGGGTTCTGGACCTGAATGCCCAAGGGATGACTTTAAAGAAAAAGGTGACAAGTGGTGAAAAAAGGTGCTGAGGCACAGTATCCTGTGTTCCTAAAGTGACGGGTTTAAAATGAGTGAGGGAATCAGAGCGCCTGCGTGGCTCAGTCTTTTGAGCATCTAACTCTTGGTTTTGGCTCAGGTCATAATCTCAGTCATGTGAGATGGAACGGGCATCAGGTCCCCACTCAACATGGTGTCTGCCTGAGAGTCTCACCATCTCCCCTGGCCCCTCCCCACCAGCAATAAATAGATAGATAAAATCTTTTAAAAAAGAAAAAAAAATGAAAGAATTGCCTTTGTGAGAATGAGTAAGCCTGGGATAAATGGAGAAGAGAGAGAAGGGAGGTAGGAAAGGAGCTGGAGCAGAAATGAATGTGCAGGACACTGCCCAGGAAGGCTGGGAAACAGGGCCCATGGTAGGAAAAGCGAGAGGAACACTACCTTCCACGTGGGAGATTCTGAAGAGGAGAGCTCAAAGGTTTCGTCCTGGGAAGGTTCAGAGTGGGAAAGTGTTGGAGGGTGAAGAAAAGGGAATAAGGAAGAGAAATGTCCCAGAGCCAAGAGGAGCAGGAAGGGAGAACTGATCTGCCGGGTGGAAAGTTCGCAGCCCTTTGTCAGAGGCTAAAGACAGACTTTCCTGGCTCACTTCTGTCGTGGGACCCTGAGAAACACGTAGCTTCCTGAAGCACAAAAACTCCTGACAGCATCACTAAGACATCTTCACAGCATTTGTCATTCTAACGTCCCACAAAAAGGGATGTTTGGGTGCCTCAGTCCATTAAGTGTCTGTCTTCAGCTCAGGTCATGATCCCAGCCTCCTGGGATCGAGTCCTGCATTGGGTTCCCTGCTCAGTGGGGAGCCTGCTTCTCCCTCTGCCTCCTGCTCACCCTGCTCTGTTCTCTCTCTCTCTCTCTCTCTGGCAAATTAATAAATAAAATCTTTTTTTAAAAAGGGGTGGGGGATGCAGGAAAAGTCTGACCCCTTCATTTTCTGCTGGGCCTTACAAGCTCTGCAAGGAGAAAGTCAGGAGAAGTGACTTCTCAGGCAGATAGGTGAACACACATGTTCAGTGCTGAGCGAAGAGGAAGCAGCTGCTGCAGCAAAGCCTCACTGATCCGCGGCCCCAGGGAGCAGGTTTGTGTTCGAGGCTGAAGCACTGTGGGTAGATAGTTATTATACTGCTGGCAGTAATAGTGCCCCACATCTTCGGCCTGGAGGTTGCTGATGCTGAGGGTGAAGTCTGTCCCAGACCCACTGCCGCTGAACCGGTCTGGGATGCCCGTGGCCCTGCTGGATGCACCATAGATGAGGAGCCTGGGAGCCTGTCCAGGTTTCTGCTGGTACCAGGCTACGTTGCTGTAAACACCCTGACTGGCTCTGCAGTTCATGGTGACCCGCTGACCTGGAGACACAGCCAGGGAGCCTGGAGACTGAGTCATCGTGATGTCCCCATGGACACCTGCAATCAGAAAAATGGTGATACAGACACCCTTTATCCCAGTCATGCTGAAATATGTCATTGCAAACGTGCTTCCTAATGGTACCACATGGCAGTACATCGTTGGGTCTATTTTGGAAATAACCAATGTTTCTCATTATGTATCTTAAAAAGTTGTTTAAAATAACACTACTCCAGAAGGACTATGGCACATTTCAGCTTCTCACCTGAGACCCACAGCAACAAGGATAGGAGGACCTGCCTCTGTGACGCCATCTTTGCTGCCCTGCCTGCCCGACGCAGTTCACCTCACGCAGCAAAGGCCCCTTTTATACAGCCTGAGCCTCTGGTCTGGGCCTGGAGGGGCTTATGCAAAGCAGTCAGGGAGAACAGAAGCAAATCTCATAAGCAGTGGGTTGTGAAAGTACCCAGTGGAAATCTAAGGAGCCAAAAATAACTTCAAAATAGAGTTGTATGACAGGAACACACAAAAGAAAACTTAGAAGCTCTGAGAACAACTTAGTTCTAAAATGACAAACTGCTACAAGATCGAATGAAGAGCTTCCATTTTCAATTTAAAAATGTCTTTAAATGGATACAGTGTCCAGAATTGATGAACTTGGCTCTTCATATCAATAACCCTGGTAAAATAACAAATCATGCTGGGAAACAAATAATAGGAGGCAGGGAGGGACAAAAGAATTGGAAGGCACAAAAAGAAAGTGGAGAACTTTGGGCCCAACTTTTTATAAAACCTCTGACTGGAAAACATCAAGCTCTGAAGCATTTTCTCCTGCAGATGGGTAAGGATGAGGCAAACACTTGACCTCGGTCCCAGGCTGTGCAAGGACCAGAGAGATGAGAGATGGAAGACAGGCCCAGAATTTCCTCACTCAGGGAGACATGTGGGACCTTCATTGGACCTAAGGGAAGACTGAATCTTGAATTTTCATTATTCTATCTTTACAGCTCAATATTTCATTTCAATATTTCTGTTTTGTGTTGAATTAACCAATGAGTGAAATCTAGGTGCTTTCAAGAAACTTCAGTCCCCTCCAGGGGTTTGAGAAGTCAGCTCAGTGTTGCATGGGCACCATACAAACGTCCCTGCACCTGTTCCTTGTCCTGCTGTTCCTTCTTAAACAGAGGGAAGGGGGCAGGGGTGGGATTCCCTTAAGATGCCAAGCAGGCAGTCCCGGTGAGGAGGGCAGAGGTTGTGGAGGCTTCAATAGCACTGCAAGTCAAACCACAACACTTCTGCCATCTTTCCTCTGAGTGGGGCAGATGCCTGAGTCTTCCTCTGGCAGGTAGCACCCTGGCTGTTCCATGGGTCCCCGTGGCCACTGCACCTCTTCGTGACATGAGCCATTTCCTAAACCCAGATAGAGTCTGTATCAAGCAGAAACTACCTGGGGATCCACACCTCACCCTCAAAAAGTGTCCATGCGCCCATCATTCCACCTCTCAATTTGCCTCTGATGATGGTTAATTTTATGTGTCAACTTAAGTAGGCTAGGGCACCCAGTGGAGCGGTCAATGCCCATTGAGATGTTGCTGCCAAGGTATTTTTTAGTGTGATGAACATCTACATCAGTAGCTCTTATCACAACACAGAGTCCCCGCCCATGCTTGTCCAAATTATCATTTTCTGTATATTCAAGGAGCCCGAGCTATGTGCATCTGCCTCCCCTCCCGGATCCCATTCTGGGGGTCAGCCCTGCCTGGAGCGGGAGGGGATGGGAGACAAGGCTGTAGCTCTTGGCGTACAGAAAAGAAGGGCCATATTCTTGATGAACATAGATGCAAAAATCCTCCACAAAATATTAGGAAACCAAATTCAACAATATGTTAAAAGGATCATATACCATGATCAAGAAGGATTTATTCCAGAGATGCGAGACTGGTTCAATATCCATAAATCAATCAGCATGTTATGTCACATTAACAAAATTAAGGGTAAAAATCATAAGATTTTTCTCAACAGATGTGGAAAAACTATTTGATAAAATTCAGTATGTATTGACAAAAAAAAAAAAAAACAAGAAATAAGAAATACCAAGTATTATAGAGGATAAGGAGAAATACCCTCAGGTATTGTTGCTGGGGATGAAAATTGGTGCAGCCACTATGGAAAACAGTATGGAGTTTCCTCAGAAACTTAAAAATAGAACCACCCTATGACCAAGCTATTCCACTTCTGGGTATTTGAAAATATATATGCACCACTGGGTCCATTGCAACATTATTAAAACAGCCATGATATGGAAACAACCTAATGTTCACTGATGGATAAATAGATAAAAATGATGTGTTATACATGTGTACACACACAATGAAATACTACTCAGCCATGAAAGGGAAGGGAATCTTGCCATTTGGGACGACATGGATGAAACTTGAAAGTAATATGCTAAGTGAAATAAGGAAGACAGAGAAAGATATTATGTATATTATCACTTCCATGTAAAATCTAAAAAACCCAAATACATAGAAACAGAGAATAGATTGGTGGTTGCCAGGGGTTGGGTGGTGAGATACATAGGGGAGATGTTGATCACAGAGTACAAACTTCTATATATAAAATAATTTCTAGGGCTGCCTGGGTGGCTCAGTGGGTTAAAGCTTCTGCCTTCAGCTCAGGTCATGATCTCAGGGTCCTGGGATGGAGTCCCACATTGGGCTCTCTGCTAGGCAGGGAGCCTGCTTCCTCCTCCCTGTCTCTCTCTCTCTCTCTGTTTGCCTCTCTGCCTACTTGTGATCTCTCTCTGTCAAATAAATAAAATCTTAAGAAAAAAAATAATAATAATGGTCTGATGGTCTCTTGTACAGCATGGAGACTGCAGTTAACAGTATTATATTGTACTTGAAGGTTACTAAGAGACTAGACCTTCAATGTTCACACCACAAAAAAAGTAAATAAGTAAAGCAAGAAGGATAATTATGTGAAGTGAAGGTTGCATTAACTATCCTTATGTTGGTAACCATTTCACAATATAAACATAGATCAAATTATCACATTGTGTAAAACTTAGACTTACACAATATTATATGTCAATTATATCTAGAAAAAAAATGTTGATGTCATTTCCATCTGGCCCCCATGGTTTCTGAATAGAAATCCTCTGTCATTCAAGGTGTTTTCCTCTCCGGGTAAGTGTGATTTTTCTCTTTCAGCCTATGATATGTTTCCCTTTTCCTTTAGTGCTCAGAAATTTTAGTACAATGTGTCTGGACATATATTTCTTCAGGATTATGCTGTTGGGGGTCTGCTAAATGTGAAAATTTTTCAGCAATCACTTGTTCAAAATATATTTCATCTCCATCCTTTCTTCCCTCTTTCTAGGATTCCAGTGGCACAAATGTTAGATCTTTTTTTGGTCCCATGTATCCCAGATACTGTGGGGTTTTGTTGTTGTTGGTTTTGAATTGGGCTTTTGTTTTGTTTTGTTTTGTTTTGTTTTTAGCTTAGTTTCTCTTTTTGGTTTAGGCTGGGTAATTTCTTGCCTCTGATCTTTCCTCCTTTACCCTTCTACTCTCCTCCTTCCAGAGACTTCCTAGCCAGGCATCCCATAAGGCATCCTTGTTCTTACTTCAAGCCACTTCCTCAGCCACATTAAGTCAATGACCATTTGGACTCTTTGAGCATCTACTAACCAAACATCTTATTTCATTGCAGGATGGTATGAGAGCTTTCCAGGTTAACTTACATCAACATATCATGTGAACCTGGGCAGAACCTGGAATCCTTTCTCTGTTATTAGCTGGTTGGCAGGCCCTGTGTCTTTAATCAGATGTGGTAAGAAACAAAGACAGGAAAGCTATTACAATGCAGTAAAAAGTTTTTATTATATGCATAGTCCCCTGGAAACAGAACACATAGCATGCCACCTGGCGACAGGTAGTACCGAGGTGAAAAGAGCATACAGAGAGAAGTACTGCTGGCCTGTTTTTTTTTTTAAATGCATATTTCATGAGAAGTAATGGAGAAGCAAAGCCAACAAGCTACTTAGATATAAGATTGGAGAGTGAAAATTTCAGGAGGCTGCAGACTATAGGTGTGCCCCTTGTCCTCTGGTACCCAGGGGGATTTGGGTAGAGGGAAATGTCACAGGTTGCTGGTCTCATTGAATGGAAGAGAGAAAGGATTGGGGCTCAGGATTGTCTGGCTTGCATATCAAATGTATGCCCTTGGGCAAGTCTTTTACTGCCTCTGGGAATTAGCTAATTTTGGGAGAGGCAGTCCCTTCCTTGCAACAAGATTGCAGAAATAAGAAAATGCATTAAATATAAAGTCTCATGAGACTGAAAATAGGAGCTCATGCAGGGGTGTTTGGGCAAAAGTGGTGAGTATTGTGGTGATCTAAAACTCTTGTCCCATAAATTAAGTGTGGCCGCTGAATCTGCTTGAGTCCAATACTAAAGAAAATACTTTCTCCTTCCTGAGTTGACTGCTGCTGGGCTCCACCCAATCTTACAATCTGGTTTGTCTGACAGGTATGGTTTAGGACGAACAGCACTGTCACATAGTTAATTGATGTACTGCAGACAGGTCTACCGGGGTTTGTGCTACGATGGAAACTACTTGTTGAACAGTGAATATGTTGTATTTGATAAGGGCCAAGTCTTGCCAAAGAACTCAGAAGGCTATCCTAGGAGTCTTCATCTGGGCTTGCCAGAGTGTCCACACCAACCTTCCCAGACACAGATCCACATACCATCCAATGACTGGAGAGTTCAGAGGGCCCATGTGATAGGACCAGTTGCATCATGACCTAAACCTGATAGAGAGTCCTTCCTGACTCTGTCCCCACTCTACACTAGTGACTTCAGAATTATCTGAAAAATGGAATGGTGTAGTTTATCCAATTCTGGATTGTGTTATCTCAACACTCAACACTCAACACTCAACACTCAACAAGATACTGTGTTTCAAACTCAGTGGTCGGAGGTACAAGATGCAAATACTTGTAATTTACCTCAGAGAGGATGTGCCCGCCTACTTCAGATATCTGGACCCCTGACATAGCCACCAGGGAGGTGTGCCGCATGAATTTTTGTAGGGTTTGCATTCCACTGTTGGAGCACATGTGTTTTTGCAAGTTAGCGAAGTCCTCACCATTTCTTGCTCATCGTGTGCAATTAACAGATGCGTAATTGATAGAGTATGGCCTGGCAGGATGCTCTGTGGGATGTTTATACAACACACAGTAGCAGAGAACAGGGAGTCAACATAATCTGGGCCTAGACTGAGGATGTGACCTGCTCTTCACTGTGGGTGAAAGCAAAGTCCACCAGAGGACTTCATTAGATCATATGCCATGCCCCTGCTGGTAGACCTTGTCTTTGGCCAAGCATGGGGTAAGTGCTTTGAAAACCTCCACATGGCCAGAAGAGGGAGACTTAACACATCCAGAGAAGAATGGGGTCCAGTGGGGGGATCTGACAAACTTAATTTTTCATTATTTAAGCAATATGAATGCCCCATAATTTGCATATCTTCTTCCTTTTAGATCTGAAGTGTTTCTGCCTCTCAGAGTCTTATAACAGAGTCTCTGGGTGTGTTGCATGAACACACTGGACCTATCAAAAGCAGCAAGATGGTGACTCCCTCACAGCTTCTTGGCCTTCTGCTCCTCTGGGTTCCAGGTGAGAATATTTGGACAAAGCAGGTTAAAGTGGGGGTATGATTTTCCATCCCTGATTTTCTTTCTTCATTGGGAATCTTTCCAAAGATAAATTTCACTTATTTTATAAATAAGTAGTATTCTCTGTCCTACCTAAGTAGATACTGATGACTTCCATGTACATATCTTGAGACTCTGCTAATGTTTCCTGTGTGGTTTCAGCCTCCCATGGCAAGATTGTGCTGACCCAGTCTCCTGCCATCCTATTCATGCCTCCAAAAGAAGTAGTCACCATCACCTGCTGGGCCAGTCAGAACATTAACAAGTGGTTAGCCTGGTATCAGCAGAAGCCAGGGAGAGCTCCTAAGCTCCTGATCTATGAAGCATCCAAGTTGGAAACTGGGGTCCCATCAGAATTCAGTGGCAGTGGGTCTGTGACAGACTTCACTCTCACCATCAGCAGCCTGGAGCCTGAAGATGCTTGGACCTACTACTGCCTGCAGTCTAACAGCTACCCACCCACAGTGTTACAGGTCAGAGCATAAACCACCAGGGAAGCAGATGTGAGGGGCTGGGCTGCCCCCACTGCTCCTTTGATGCCTGCACCTGCTCAGACAGTTTCTCAGAGGCAGCCGCAATTTGGAGGTCACAGGGGCTTTGGGAGAAAGGCAAGGAGGCTCCTCAGCCCCCTGACTGACTCCCTTTCCCTCAGATCATTACACCCAAGGAGTGTGGGTCAAGGCATCTGCTGGGGTTTATGCAGCAAAAGAGAAGCCACTCTAGGTATTCCAAGCAGAAATTGCTTCCTGAAAGAAAGTAATGTCTAAATGTCACTCTTTCAAAGGCCTGGAATATAATAAGGGAAGCAGACACTAGAAACGGTGATTCCTCAGTGATCCACCATAAGTCAGAGAATTTATGCCATTGGAGATACAGGCTGCCTAACCACGTGGTCCTCAGGCCTGTCTAGGAGGGCCAGGGATGGAGTTGCTGATGCTCTAGCCACTGCGGCCCCTCGCCAGGTGATGCTCCGGTCTCTCACTTATCACTCACCTGCCTGTAGGTGCTGATGGAAGGCATTGAATCCTCCTCTTCTGACCTCCAGATCTAGGGTAAGGTGCCTCGTGAGCAACTCAGTAGGGAACCATAGAGGAAAGGGGGCTCTGGGAAATGTGCTTCCAGAAGAGATGGTGGTGATGGGGAGTTAACAGAAGACAGCCTGGGATGGTCACTGTTTTTACATCTCTCAGAAGTTGGCCAGTTAGGCGAAGGCCCCCCAATATGTTTGAATATGCTTCTAGCTACTGTCATTAGGTCATAACAAGGAGATTTTGCTAAGCATCTGAGAGAACAGAAGAATGAGGAAATTGTGTTATGTATATAGAAATAACTTGACAATGAAGGACTTTTGTGATTAAAAAAAAAACTCAATGTAGACGAAGCATTGTTCTTCTTAATATAAAATATCTTGTTGCTTAAAATTCTCTATATGCCAGAGCATCACTGACAACCCTGAAAGCTTATACAAATGTGAAGTAGCTGTCTCCACCTGATACCAACTCACATAGCTCACCATTTTAACAAGATGGCAGGAGAGCTGTATAAGGTTTAAGATGTTCTGCTGTAGAGCATTTTTACTTCCCCTAAAGTAGTCTTTCTTTAATTTTCTATTTTCATTTAAGACATTTCTATTGAAAGCCACCTGTTGAATTAAAGCCACATGTTGAAAACGCCTCCAATTTTGCTTTCTCATTCATACAAAATTAAATTAAAAACTTCTTTTTAGACTGTAAAGATTGAAAAATATAATTATTTGGAAACAACATGACCATGTATCTTAAAAATTAAATAGAGTAATGATCTGTAGAAATTTTTTATTTATTTATTTATTTTTAAATATTTTATTTATTTATTTGACAGAGAGAGGTCACAAGTAGACAGAGAGGCAGGCAGAGAGAGGGAGGGAAGCAGGCTCCCCACCAAGCAAAGAGCCCGATGCGGGACTCGATCCCAGGACCCTGAGATCATGACCTGAGCCGAAGGCAGCGGCTCAACCCACTGAGCCACCCAGGCGCCCCTGATCTGTAGAAATTTAAAGAATTATGAAGACCACAGTAAGAATAAAGCAAAATTATATGCAATTCTGCCAGAATAACTGGACGTAGATTTGTTTGTTTTGTGGCTTCTGTACCCTCCTACAGCTTGCCATGAGAATGATGTGCCATGGGTAGTCACCACCCTCTGTCTTGGCCCCAGATCAACCAGAATCTGTAGACTATAGAAACATTCATCTCCCTGCAGAAGAACCACACAGCTGAGACCTGTGTGCATTATCCAAATTATTGTCAACATGAACCTCCATGACTATAGAAACAAATGCTTAGTATGACAAGTCACTGAGTTTTTGACTGGTTTGTTAAAATAGTGTGTAAAATATGACTAATACAGTTTTTACAAATCTTCACATAGAAATTGACAGGTTTTATTAAACACAATGGCATAAAAAGAAATACTTGGAAATCCATTCATAAGGAGATACAAAACAGAGAAATGTTTAAAAAAATATTTGAATTAAAAGTGTAAAATTCACCCCATTGTAGAAACATCTAAATACGATTACTTAGAGTAATGGTGACAAATTGTGTAAAGCATTCAGACTTATTAAACGTGATTAAATCTAAAGTTCGTTCATATATATTCATTCATATATATGTGAATATATGTCCATATGCATATGTGTATAATATATGTACATGTAGATACATTTTTGATGTGTTTATACAATTATCTTATAAATTAAATGGATTAATATGACTCTAGCAACTCCCCATAAATAACTGGTGTCCAGGACCAGATATGATATAGTACTAACTGGCTTGAGGAATTTTCTTTACAATCTTGGTTTCTAATCATACACCAATTGGTATACTTATCTGAATATATATTTTCTCATGTAGTGGAGGTCCTAAGGGTTTGAATGGAGTTATTTTTCCTACAAACCATTACACCCCATGAAAGCACCATTATCTCTATGTCCACATTTATGTGATGAATTCCAGGTATGAGATATTATCCAATCTTTTTTTTTTCATTTTATGGCGACATCTATTAATACTCTCATGACATAGGTCACAGCTCTTGTAATTTACAGAGAAAATAACAACTAAATGAAACTATCAATCAACAAACGTAAAACAGACGGACTGAAAAATGAATTCATGGGTAGTACCACTTGTCCTCAAGTGGGACATAAGGGACAGAACTCAGCCTTCTAAGAGGAAGCATATCAGAATCTAGGGGAGGGGCAGTTATCAAGTTTGATCATTTAACAATATATGCTCAAATCTCAATTTCCTCCTACAAATATTAACATTTGTTTTATCAACAGTTGGTATATCTCTAAAATATGGGTTGAATGATTTCTCTGGCCTTGTTGGTGAATTAGAGGATAAAATTACAATTTAGAGATGCATAGTCAATGTGTTAAATATTTTAGACTGTTCCTTAGGTAATCATTTCCCCATATTTTTTACATAATTAACACTGAAGAAACTTGGATGAAATTGGAACAAGTTAACAGGTTGTTCTGTAGCCAGAAGAAACCAAGGGGGAAACAAGTCAACCTATGTCCTAAGAACTTTCAACAGAGAACCCCAGTGCACGGACCATTGGGGTAAATATGAGCTACCTCATTTCCCACTTTCCCAGGTAGACAGAAACGTGGAGATTTGAAAGAAACATTTATTACCAGGAGTGAAATGTTGGCTAGTCCGTTACCTAGAGATACAAAAACAAGAGTTTTTGATTTCAGGTGAACCCAGATATTCCTAATATTTACAAATTATTTCTAGAATTAGGGACAAATTTATGCCTGAGTTTTGTCAGAGAATTTTACTGGTATGATGCCCCTTTGCTGCTCTTCTCAAGGATGATATTGAGAAAAGGGAATCCCAATAGTACATAAAAAAATTCAAGAGTTATATATAAAAAAAAGAGAAATAGTCAATTCACTGGCATAGACTACTGATTTTGACGAATTATCAGACCTGGAAAAAAACAAGATCAAAAGATTGGAGTCAAAGTCATTTTGGAAAGAAAAAAATGGGCCAAGATAGAAAACAATAGCTTCATAGTGAATGCTGATTGAAGGACCATTATCAAACAAAAGGCTGTCAATAATTACATGATCCTATAGGTAGATGTTGGTTCCTGGTATGGTCTGATCGTATTCCCCACAGATTCATATGTTGAAATCTTAAACTCCACAGTGATCTTATTATGCGGTTGGGCTTTTGGTAGGTGATTAGGTCAGTGAGGATGGAGCACACATGATGGGACTAGTGCTTTAAAAAGAGACCCCACTGAGCTCCCTGGTCTCTTCAACCATGTCCAGACACAGCAGGAAGGCACCATCTGGGAAGCAGAATGTGAGCCCTCACCACATACTGAATTGGTCAGCAACCTGATTGTGGACTCCACAGCCTCCAGAACTGTGAGAAATATATTTCTGTTGTTTACAAGATGCTCAGGCTAAGGCTTTTTCTGGTGTAACAACCTAAACAGACTAGGACAGTCACCTCTCCCAGCTTTCCCAGGAAGCCTAAAGAACAAACATCATGACATCAGAGATGGAAGTCCATGTGTAGGCTCAAGGATATGGATTAATCTAACTGAAGGTGGCGGCGGGCTTACTAGCACATGTTCTGGGATTGAGCCATTTGATAAAAAAAAGACATTATGGCTGATTCAAGCAGAAAGATATTTATGACCATGAATTGGGTAAATCAAAATTGTGTAGAAGGACCAGATGAGCAGGCTCAGGCAACTCCCTGTTTCAGTCCCTCAAATACCCTAGTATTTTCTATAATCAGAAAAGCTATTGCTCTGGCAAAGGCCATCTGGCAAATCAGAAAGCTATGTGCTTCAGACAGTGCTGCCTGGACCCCACTCCAGAGATGTGAGCCCCTCTGGCTGTATGCTTCTCCTCCCCACTCTCTGTGCCGAGAACCACTCTACAGGAATGCATCAGATAGTCAGAGTCTTAATGGCACCTGCAGCGAAGAGTGCCAAGACAATATGGTTTAGGCTTTCCAGAACCTTCCACACAAAAAGACCTGAGGGAACCCTGAGGACAGAAATACTAAGGAAGGTTTTTCCAAATAACGACACAAGTCAGGCATACATTTATGTCTCTTAAATAATTTCGCTTTCTCTACTCTTTCTTTTTTAAAAAATTGTTAAGCAAAACAAAAACAAAACAAAACAAAACAAAAAAACCCACAGGACCAAAATGGTGTCACTTATGTTAAGGCTCAGTGTTAGCAAACCAAGACTTTACACCTCACCCTAATGCAACTTCACCCCCATGAATGCGATGTCTTTAACCAGCGGAATTGGAATTTCCTGGTCAGAACTAGTAGCCAATCCACTGATAGACCCCTTTCATTCCTTTTTGGAGGGCAACTTTCCCTAAAACAATGCATTCTTTGCTAATAATTTTCTTTTTTCTGATCTCTCTCTACCTTTCAAATATCTTTGTAAATATCTTTTGCACACAGATAGGTACTGCCAAATACTGATACCAGTTCACATGATGGTAATTGAGCACATGCATGACTTAGAAGTCATGTACAGAATCTTTTTAAAGATTTTGTTTATTTGACAGAGAGAGAGCACAAGCAGGTAGAGCAGCAGGCAGAGGGAAAGGGAAAAAGCAGGCTCTCCACCAAGAAGGAAGCTTGATGCAGGGCTTGATCCCAGGACCCTGGGATCATGACCTGAGCTGAAGGCAGATGCTTAACCAACTAAGCCACTCCCGGCCTCATATATAGAATTTGGGAAAGTCTTGTTGAGATGTGTATTTTAGCTTATTATTTTTTAAGGCTTTATTTATTTATATAGATAAAAAGAGTAAAAGAGAGCATGAGCAGGGGACAGAGGGAGAAGCAGGCTCCACACTGAGCAGGGAGCCTGACGTGGGGCTTGATCTCAGGACCCTGGGTTCACGACGTGAGCCCAAGGAAGACTCTTTTAGCTTCTTATTACATTGAGGATTAATTCATTTCCATTGACTATTACGTAGAAGATCCTCAGTTGCACAGAATTATGGAAAATGGCAAGTTCGTTCTCATTTGCCTCAAGTTCCAGCAGACTATATATTTCCTGCAAATTTATGGGAGAATAAGATCTCACTTCCTGCTTTAACTTTTGACAAATTGGCAAAAGGGACCAGCAGCTAGATGGCAAAGCCCACATCCCTGTCAT